ACATTTTTACCATCTAATGGTTGTTGAGAGAAGTGGCTCTCAACTTTTCCAAACTACTGTACCCCTTTCAGGAGTCTGAATTGTCTTGCATACCCCCAGGTTTCACCTCACTTAAGAACTATTTGCTTACAAAATCAGATATAGAAATACAAGTGTTACAGCACATTATTATTGAAAAATTGCTTACTTTCTCATTTTTACCATATTATAAATTGATTGGCATATAAATAATTTACTTATTTCAATGTATAGTATATAGAACCATTTAAAGTCATTATCTGTATGAAATTTTAGTTTGTACTGACTTCACTAGTTCTTTTCATGTAGCCTGTTGTAAAACTAGGCAACTATCTAGATGAGTTACCCCCTGGAAGGCCTCTGTGTACCCAGGAGTACACGTACCCCTGGTTGAGAACCACTGGTTTAGAGGCCTTTATAGTAGGAATTGGTGGCCCCAGTGTATTTCCTGATGCACAAGTGCCCAGAGTACAAAATAATACCAACATTTTTACAACCTTTTTGGCAGTCTTAGCAAAAAGTCAAATGAAATGTAGACCATAAGGAAGTATATGTAATGTAGATAAGCTATGTCTTCATGGCAAAAAAAGGTGTTTTTACATCAAGATAACAATCTCAGTGTAAAATCCTAGAGGAGACAAGGCATTCCAGTTTTTAGTGTCAAGCTAGTCAAGAAGAGGAAAGAGGGTTGATCTCAACTAGCTATATTGAGGTGAAAACTACTTGTGTCTTGTCTCCACTAAAATTTTACTTTGAGTTAGTTATAGTGTAAAAAGAAACTTTTATTGCAGTGAAGACAGAGGCATTGATGGCTGCAATTCAATGTTATGAAATTAACACTACAGATATACAATTTAAGGGCCCAATTCTGTGAAATGCTAAGTACTTCCTGTGATGCATTAAGGCCCCATCATGTTCAGTGAGAGTTGGGGAAGCTCAGCAGCTTTCAGGATTACTTCCTAAAAAGGTGTTATTGGGTAGTCAGTGACTACTGCCAGGTTCCCTCCTCTGGGTCTTATGATGTGTCCACTCTCATGTGCAGGATGGTTGTGGGATCCTCAGTAAATACAGCATCCAGTGCAACATAAAAGCAGCAGGTCTGGGGGCAGCTCCAGATTTTCTGTTGGCCTCCCTTATTTTTTGAAAGGGCTGCCAGAGTTCCTTCCCCTTCACCTTGCTTTGCTGCTTATCTGGGCCATACCTGATGAGTTGTTGCATGCCTTCTGCAATGTCTGAATGTACATCTTTATTACTGTGATTATTTCTCATCTGAGCTTGCACTGCTCCTTCTCCCCTACGGTGACCAGGGGGAATGAACAGAATAGGTAATCATCAAGTAATCCATCCTCCGTCACCCATTCCCATCTTCTGGCAAAGAGAGGCTAGAGACACTATCCCTGCCCATCTTGGCTAATAGCCATTGATGGACCTATCCTCCATGAACTTATCTAGTTCTTTTTTGAACCCTGTTATAGTCTTGGCCTTCACAACATCCTCTGGCAAGGAGTTCCACAAGTTGACTGTGCGTGAAAAAATACTTCCTCTTGTTTCTTTTAAATCTGCTGCCTATTAATTTCATTTGGTGACCCCTAGTTCTTGTGTTATATGAGAGAGTAAATAACAATTTTATTAACTTTCTCCACACCAGTCATGATTTTATAGACCTCTATCATAGCCTCCCTTAGTCATCTCTTTTCCAAGCTGAAAAGTCCCAGTCTTATTTATCTCTCCTCATATGGAAGCTGTTCCATACCCCCTAATCATCTTTGTTGCCAGTTTCTGTACCTTTTCCAATTCCAATATATCTTTTTTGAGATGGGGTGACCACATCTGCATGCAGTATTCAAGATGCGGGCGTACCATGGATTTATATAGAGGCAATATTATATTATCTGTCTTATTATATAGCCCTGTCTTAATGATTCCCAACATTCCATTCACTTTTTTCACTGCTGCTGCACATTGAGTGGATGTTTTCAGAGAACTATCCACAATGACTCCAAGATCTCTTTTTTGAGTGGTAACAGCTAATTTAGACCCCAACATTTTATATGTATAGTTGGGATTATGTTTTCCAAAGCGCATTACTTTGCATTTATCAACATTGAATGTCATCTGCCATTTTGTTGCCCAGTCACCCAGTTTTGTGAGATCCTTTTGTAGCTCTTCACAGTCTGCTTTGGACTTAACTATCTTGAGTAGTTTTGTATCATCTGCAAATTTTGCCACCTCACTGTTTACCCCTTTTTTCCAGATCATTTATGAATATGTTGAATAGGACTGGTCCCGGCACAGACTGCTGGGGACACCACTATTTACCTTTCTCAATTCTGAAAACTGACCTACCCATTGTTTCCTATCTTTTAACCAGTTACCGATCCATGAGAGGACCTTCCCACTTATTCCATGATAGCTTACTTTGTTTAAGAGCCTTTGGTGAGGAATCTTGTCAAAAGCTTTCTGAAAATCTAAGTACACTGTATCCACTGAATTCCCCTTGTCCACATGCTTGATGACCCCTGTCAAAGAATTCTAGTAGATTGGTAAGGCATGATTTCCCTTTACAAAACCCATGTTGACTCTTCCCCAACAAATTATATTCACCTATGTGTCTGACAGTTTTGTTCTTTACTATAGTTTCAACCACTTTGCCTAGTACTGAAGTCACGCTTACTGGCCTATAATTGCTGGGATCACCTCTGGAGCCTTTTTTAAAAATTGGCATCACATTAGCTATCCTCCAGTCATTTGGAACAGACGTTGATTTAAATGATAGGTTATAGACTTCAGTAAGTAGTTCTGCAATTTCACATTGGCGTTCCTTCAGAACTCTTGGGTGAATACCATCTGGTTCTGGTGACTTATTACTGTTTAGTTTATCAATTTGTTCCCAAACCTCCTCTAATGACACCTCAATCTGCGACAGTTTCTCAGATTTGTCACCTAAAAAAGAGTGGCTCAGGTTTGGAAATCTCCCTCACGTCCTCAGCCGTGAAGACCAATGAAAAGAATTCATGTAGTTTCTCCGCAATGGCCTTATCGTCCTTGAGTGCTTCTTTAGCATCTCAATTGTCCAGTGGCCCCACTGGTTGTTTAGCAGGCTTCCTGCTTCTGATGTACTAAAAAAAAATTGTTATTACTTTTTGAGTCTTTGTCTAGCTCGTCTTCAAATTCTTTTTTGTCCTTCCTAATTCTATTTTTACACTTCACTTACAGAATTTATGCTTATTTCTAATTTTCTCTCTCAAATTTAACTTCCACTTTTTAAAGGATGCCTTTTTGTCTCAATTTGCCTTTTTTAATTTGTTGTTTAGCCACGGTGGCATTTTTTTGGTTCTCTGACTTTGTTTTTTAATTTGGGGTGTAAATTTAAGTTGAACTTCTATTGTGGTATTTTTAAAAAGTTTCCATGCAGCTTGCAGGGATTTCACTTTTGGCACTGTACTTTTTAATTTTTGTTTAAGTAACTTCCTCATTTTTGTGTAGTCCCCCTTTCTGAAATTAAATGCTACAGTGTTGGGCTGTTGTGGTGTTTTCCCCACCACGGGGATATTAAATTTAATTATGTTATGGTCACTATTACCAAGCAGTCCAACTATATTCACCTCTTGGACCAGATCCTGTGCTCCACTTAGGACTAAATCAAGAATTGTCCTCCTCTTGTGGGTTCCAGGACTAGCTTCTCTAAGAAGCAGTCATTTAAGATATCAAGAAACTTTATCTCTGTATCCTGTCCTGAGGTGATGTATACCCAGTCAATATGGGGATAGTTGAAATCCCCCATTTTATTGAGTTTTTTATTTTTATAGCCTCTCTAGTCTCCCTGAGCATTTCACAGTCACTATCACCATACTGGTCAGGTGGTCGGCAATGTTCCCTCTAATTTTTTCCATCCATGTGTGGAATAAATTTTGTTATGTGAACTGATGTATGTGCCTATGTGCTCCACGAATAGAGACAAAAAACCTAGATATAATATATATTTTTTTAAAAGTTACCATCAGGATAATTACTGCAGCCAGGACAGGTTCAGCATTTTAGAACTCACTACGCAGAGAATTACATTTAAGTGTAAGAGAAATAAAAATTATGAAATGCATAGAATAGTCAAAACACTAAAATAACACCTCGAAAGAATAAAATTACAGAGAATATATGTGTATTGCAGGACGTACCAAGAAGTAACAACAACAATAATACAAGTATGTGCTGGGAGGGGAGTGCAAAAGAGACTCTGTGTGTGTGTGTGAGAGAGAGAGAGACAGACAGACAGACTCTGTGTGTGTGTGGCTTTTGTAGTTAATAAATTTGTTTTGCTTTATCTAAACCAATGTGTGAAAATTATAACTCAGGGGCAGGAAGCTGTTGCATAATCCTCTCCACATTGAGGGGAGGGAGTGAATTTTGTGATCTTACGCTGTACTGTTCCCTGTGCAGCTCAAGACGGTATAATTTTGGGTTTATACTCCAGAGGGGGGGTGTGCCTGAGGAGCTGGGAGGTGCCCTAGCTGAAGCCTTCCCATGCAGGGGCTGGTCAAATAGCCTGCCTGCATGGAACTGCAGCTGGGTATGTCCCTACCTGTATGTATGCTGATGAAAGTGCAGGCTGAAGCCTGGAGGGCTTGTTAGCTTGTCACAGCAGTACTGTGTAAGAGGGAGCCCAGGCTGGTGAATCAGTGGTACCCCAGTTTCAGGTGGCACCGCAGAGGGAACCCATCACAAAAGTGTACTCTGATATTTCTTGGGAACTGAGAACATTACTTGTGTGGCACTCTGCTGGTGTTTGGTCTCTTGCAGGATTTAATTAATTTAGAGGAACCGCTACAAAACAAACCACTAGATAGCTAATTATGACTCCTTTTACAAATTTTTTAAAAATTACTAGATTCATATTAGCCACCAAAATTATTTAGTTGTCCTTTTCTTTTGTCTATGGAAATCTCAGGTATTTTTCCCTATAAACTTTTTTTTTCTCATTACAGATTCCAAGCATGTGTCTATTTTGCATCTGTCTTTCAATCTATCTCATGTGGCATCCATTACTTGGCTTCCGTATTCATGGCTGTTACTCCTAAATTTTTATGCAGTGTCCCTGGAAATGTGACTAGTATACTGTTGAACAATTCCTCTAGTTCAAGAATAGAGGATATTTGGACACTGTGGACATCAACAAAAAATTACATTGTGGTCCAGCTGGAAAATGGAGAAATTTGGGAACTTGATCAGTGCAGCAGGTCCAAGCGGGAGGACAGTTTGTATCTTGCATATGAATATAGTGGCAACAAGTCTGTTTCTTCTTGTTCTGATGGCTATATCTATGATCACACAAAATGGAAGAGCACCATTGTTACAGAATGGGATTTGGTCTGTCACCGGGAATGGCTTGCAAAATTAACTCAGCCCACATTCATGTTTGGAGTCCTGTTTGGAGCAGTGATTTTTGGTGGTATGGCTGACAGGTACAGTGCCATCCTCTTAATACTGTAGTTTAAGAGTGCAATAACTCTGTATGTGCCTAAATGCTTTGCTCTTCTATTAGATATTAATTTAAAAGAAGTTTAATCTAATTGCCATTTTATTAACAAATGTGTTCTTCAACAGAGCTTACATTTATTTTTCTCTGATACAGATGATTTGTGTTTTTCTATCAGAAAATTTAAAAAACTGTTGATAGAAAATTTATTTTTTTTTAAAATGCCCTGCTTTATATCAAATATAGGCTTTGATCCTGCAAGCTACCCCCTATAGGTGGAACCTTGTACCTAAGCAGAGCTTTCTGCAGGATCAGGGTCAAAGTGAGTTTCCCTGGTAATGGTTCCCTCTTCCCCCTACCCATTCTCCTCATCTTATAATAAAAAAGAGAAATGTTTATGATGGATATGATGAACAATTAAAGCTATGCTGTAAGGTTAAAAAATATAGTTTTTAAAAAACAGATTTCCTGTCCTCTGTCAATACTACTACTTTATGGGACTGCTGCAAAGACTTCAGGATTTGAATCCAGTCCTGTATTACTAAAACTAAAAATCTACTGTATTTTTCACCATTATTGGTTTACCTTTTTTTTGCATTTCAGTCTGCATGAAGAAAGAAAATAGACCAATCAGTTTCCCTTTAGTTTCCTGTCAGTTTCACTTCCTCCAGCAGTAATAAAATGCTGAAATATTTCAGTTGTAAACACATTATGTAAATGCATAAAGTAGATCTTATTTTTTCAGTTGGATTTTATAAAAGTATGGAATTTGTTCTCTTAATCTAAGGTTTTGTAAAACTTTCTTTAATACAAAACCTGAATTTAGAGCCTAAATTGAACTGACAGTGTCTCTTTTTAAATCAGTTATAATATTTTCAGTTAATATGCAGACACAGATAATGACATTATAGTCACATAATTCTCAGTTAGATTAGCTCAAGCTGTAGACATCCATTTAAGAGAATAAACATATTGTATTTTATGGAGTTACAACTAAAAGTTTTACATATGAAAGTTACTATCTGACAGCTTTTGATTGGTGGGAAATAAATTGGTAATTTCAGTCCAACTTCCAGTCAACAGATGTTCCCAGCACAAGAATGACCACAGCTGGCTCTAATTAGCATCTCTGCTGAGAATCTTGACAGAGATTAAGGATTGAATGGGCATGAAGACAACTACCTCCTCCATTCTTCCGAGGCCTGGTCTACACCACATAGTTAGGTAGATGTAAGGCAGCTTACATCGACCTAATTATGTCAGTGTGCACATTATAGCCTTGTCCCACCTATGTAAGTGCCCTACTAATTGACATCATAATGCCAGCTCCATGAGAGGCATAGGGCTTAGGTTGGTGTAGTTAGGAAAACTCAGTGTCTGTGCAGACACTGCAATGCTTACATCAGCTGTTGGCTGTCTTGTCAATTTCAGGGCTCCATGCTGGAGCCATGAAATTGACAAAAAAGCCAGGCCTCTGTTTTCCCAGTCGCAGCCGAGCTGTGCTCGCCTGGCTCCCCCACTCCGGCTGGGAGCGAGGAGGTGAGCCGAGCTGAGAGCTCTGGCTCCCCCCGCCCCAGCCCCTCTTCAGTCAGTGGAAGTGATACTGGTGAGGACTCACACCACTGCCAGAAGGAGGGTAGTGTGGACATGAACCACCGCAGTAATTACTGCGGTGGCTCTAAATTGATCTAACATAAGTCTGTTGGGTAGACGTGTCCTAGGTCAGGGTTGAAGCACATTGGCAGGGCATTGTAGGGAAATTTGCAGAGCAGCTGTCGGGGCTATATCTGTTCTGTAAGACTTCACATTCCAGTATTATTTTAATGTGGTACCAAATTCATGTACAAACCCAAACCCAAATCTCCAAAAGCTGCTGCTGCTGAAGATAGAAATAATACATCTCTACGTTAGAGAATAAAAATGAAACAGGGCCTGTTCATTATTTAGTTGACACCTGAAACATACTCTACATTAATGAACATTGTTAAACAAAATAGGACAGAGTTAATTCATAAATAGATTTTATTTCTGTTAGAGTTTGTTTTCTCTTCAGTTGAATTTATTGGTGTTGACTTCTGGTTATTTGTTTATATACAGCATGTTCTGGTAGATCAACATGTTTTCTATCTGAGATGATATGGAAACTGGACAAACAAATTTAGGATTCCTTTTATGTTAAAGACCTTTGATTCAGAATGAGGAATGACACATAATTTAAGACCTGACTTGTAATATTTATAATAAGAAGATAAAATTTCACATAATTTTATTTCCCTGCTAATGTACTTATTGTATATGTGACATTTAACATGTGTGGGCATTCCTGGTAATGAGTTTGTGTGTACACTTATGAAATCAGAGAACTCTGGGGGAGTATCTGATTACCATTTATTAGATATTTTATCTTAATGTAATTGGAAGGAATTAAGGTAAAAAACCTTTCATTGGAATCCACGTTATATTTTGAGATAGCATGAGTTATTGCATGCTAACCTGTGCTGGAACATGTTAAGTAGCTGTTACTTAAAATAAAATGTCCAAGAAAGAGAGAAATAGAATGGAGTGAATCTGTGTAAAAGGGCAAATTACAGATGCGGAAGTTAATCGCAAAGCTCAATATGAACATACAAAGTGCCCTTTTCTATGGAGACCTTCCTTCCAGTCATGGAAAGTTGGGTGGGGCTCCCTTTCATCAGTATTACTTTTATATTGGTCACAGTGATAGGTACAGAAAAAATAAAAGTTTTTCCCTCACCTAGAGAACAATATATCAGAGCTAAGATCAAACCTGGGGCTACTGTGATAGTGCAGTGCCCTAAATACAGCACTAGTGATACTTTTCATATTTACTATAATTCTTATTGGTAAGATTTCCAAAGTTGCAGTTGCTATTTAGTACAATATTTATCACATGCCACCCCATTGTTCACTCTGTGTATTTGTTCTATCCTTCCCTCACCTTGTGTCTGTCTTATCTATCTCCATTATAAGCTCTTAGGGGTAGAGACAGCTCTGTGTTTGTACAGTGCCTAGCACAATGGGGCCGTGTTCTTGGTTGGCCCTCAGGCACTCTCATCATAAACATGGTTAATAATAAATAATGATGATGTTTTTGTTGTAATGTGCAGAGTGGGAAGACGGTATATAATGTGGTTCACAAGCACTGGTCAGTTTTTATTTGGTGTGGCAGTGGCATTCACATTTGACTACTACAGCTTCGTGATCATACGTTTTCTCCTTGCTATGGTAAGTATAGATGCTCATCCTAATTCTTTTTAAATGCAGTTTCCTAACCTTCCTCAGGAAAGCCCTCCATAATTTCTCCCTATTCCTTCTCTTCTCCAGTTTTTAAAAGCCCCATGTGTTGCCACAACACTCTGTTTAGCAAAGGAGTGAGAATTCGAACACTGCTTCTTCACCTTTCAGTGCCCTTCTCTTTGTTTTAACCAGAAAGGGTGCATATGAAGCAATATTTGGTGCTTCCTTCATCAGGGGCTGACAATGCTTCTTTTAGCACAGTCTCAACCCCAGCTAGGCTGGTAATTAGGTGAGAGACGAAGTATGAGTAGCAAACTCTGGTTCCTGCATTGCAGCTTGCATTGCACCGTTATTCATAGTGTATTACTAGAAATAGACTTTATTTTTGGTAAAATGCAGTCATGGTTTTACCCCAGCTATGTTCATTGATAGGGGATAGGTGCCCTTTTTTCTCATGTTTCAGAGTGGTAGCCGTGTTAGTCTGTATCAGCAAAAAGAACGAGGAGTACTTGTGGCACCTTAGAGACTAACAAATTATTTGAGCATAAGATTTCGTGGGCTAAAACCCACTTCATCGGATGCATGCACTGGAAAATACAGTAGGAAGATATATATATATATATACACACACACACACAGAGAAAATGAAAAAATGGGTGTTGCCATACCCACTATAACGAGAGTGATCAGTTAAGGTGAGCTATTATCAGCAGGAGAAAAAAAAATCTTTTGTAGTGATAATCACGTTGGCCCATTTCCTACAGTTGACAAGAAGGTGTGAGTAACAGTAGGGGGAAAAATAAGCATGGGGAAATAGTTTTACTTTGTGTAATGACCCATCCACTCCCAGTCTTTATTCAAGCCTAAGTTAATGGTGTCCAGTTTGCAAATTAATTCCAATTCAGCAGTTTCTCGTTGGAGTCTATTTTTGAAGTTTTTTTGTTGTAGTATTGCCACTTTTAGGTTTGTATTCGAGTGACCAGGGAGATTGAAGTGTTCTCCGACTATGGGTACCCGCATGGCCCCACAGTATGCCAACATTTTTATGGCTGACTTAGAACAACACTTCCTCAGTTCTTGTCCCCTACCGCCCCTACTCTTCTTGCACTACATTGATGACATCTTCATCATCTGGACCCATGCAAAAGAAGCCCTTGAGGAATTCCACCCTAATTTCAACAATTTCTGTCCCACCATCAACCTCAGCCTGGACCAGTCCACACAAGTGATCCACTTCCTAGACACTACAGTGCTAATACGCGATGGTCACATAAACACCATCCTACACCAGAAACCTACTGACCACTATACTTACTGACATGTCTCCAGCTTTCATGCAGACCACACCAGACGATCCATTGTCTACAGCCAAGCTCTATGATACAATCGCATTTGCTCCAACCCCTCAGACAGAGACAAACACCTACAAGATCTCTATTAAGCGTTCTTACAACTACAGTACCCACCTGTTGAAGTGAAGAAACAGATTGACAGAGCCAGAAGAGTACCCAGAAGTCATCTACTACAGGACAAGCCCAACAAAGAAAGTAACAGAACGCCACTAGCCATCACCTTCAGCCCCCAACTAAAACCTCTCCAGCGCATCATCAAGGATCTACAACCTATCCTGAAGGACGACCCATCACTCTCACAGATCTTGGGAGACAGGCCAGTCCTTTTACAGACAGCCCCCCCAACCTGAAGGAAATACTCACCAGCAACCACACACCACACAACAAAAACACTAACCCAGGAACCTATCCTTGCAATGAAGCCCGTTGCCAACTCTGTCTACATATCCATTCAGGGGACACCATCATAGGACCTAATAACATCAGCCACACTATCAGAGGCTCGTTCACCTGCACATCCACCAATGTGATATATGCCATCATGTGCCAGCAATGCCCCTCTGTCATGTACATTTGTCAAACCGGACAGTCTCTACGTAAAAGAATAAATGGACACAAATCAGATGTCAAGAATTATAACATTCAAAAGCCAGTTGGAGAACACTTCAATCTCCCTGGTCACTCGATTACAGACCTAAAAGTGGCAATTCTTCAACAAAAAAACTTCAAAAACAGACTCCAATGAGAAACTGCTGAATTGGAATTAATTTGCAAACTGGACACCATTAACTTAGGCTTGAATAAAGACTGGGAGTGGATGGGTCATTACACAAAGTAAAACTATTTCCCCATGCTTATTTTTCCCCCTACTGTTACTCACACCTTCTTGTCAACTGTAGGAAATGGGCCATCCTGATTATCACTACAAAAGTTTTTTTTTTCTCCTGCTGATAATAGCTCACCTTAACTGATCACTCTCGTTATAGTGGGTATGGCAACATGCATTTTTTCATGTTCTCTGTGTGTGTGTGTGTGTGTGTGTATCTATATCTATATATCTTCCTACTGTGTTTTCAACTGAATGCATCCGATGAAGTGAGCTGTAGCTCACGAAAGCTTATGCTCAAATAAATTTGTTAGTCTCTAAGGTGCCACAAGTACTCCTTGCTGTTTTTTTCTCATGTGCATCCTTTCTGTCTTTTAAACTGCATCTAAAATACTGGATTTATTTGTAAATAGCTAGGCTTGGTAAACATCCTAAAAGCTTCTACTATACTTGTATGTATGTCAGCATATTTAATTTTTTAGCAATCAACTTCAAATTCCTACCCTATATTCAAAGGTATGCTTTTTGTGGACTTTGCTTTTAGAATGCTTTGACTAATGAGAAAGATGGTGGGAGAAAAATGAAATAAGTGGTTTAAAATAGTTTAGAAGTCAGAAACTAAAATTCACTCAAGAATAAAGCATCAAATATTATTCTCTTTACTTGTTGCTGGCAAAGCATAAAGCAAGAGGGGTCCTTGACTCTGGAATTCACTTCCCTCCTTTGCCTGCCAGAGCTTCGATTTATTCACTACCGGGAATGCTGCAAAGCCTATCTTTTCTCGCAGGCCTTAAGAGCCTGGTCCAGTGCACAGTGATCAGTGTGTAATGTGTGCCTGGGTGTGCCATGTCTGAGCGCCGGCACCTCCAGGCTTGGCAGTTCATTGCTTTGGTACCTCTGGGCTTGCTTAGTCAGAATGTAAAAAAATTGCTTGAGCCCTGGCACCTCTTTCACTACAAATTAAACACTGCCAGTGATGTCAATAGGAGTCTCTGTAGTGACTTCATGGGGCATTGGATGAGGTTTGAGCGAGGCTGAGGGGGTTTATAAATGGAAGTGCTGGAGATTAAGACTCTGCTCAAACAAGTAGACTCTGCGTGGGCACAGAGCCACACTGAATTCAGTGAAGCTCTGCAGAGGCCTAAGTATCTGGCCACAGGAATCCACTTCCAGGACTGGGGCTTAAAAACCCTAATCTTACACCATTGAAAACAATGGAGGCATTCCAATCACCTCCACTGTGTGCAGGATCAGATCTTAAAGGATGATTTAGATGGTTGAGTATAATGCATATATATTTTTCACTTTTGTATGGGAATTTATTAATTGGAGTTTTTATAACTGGAGATTTGATTAATCAAAATATTATATGGGAAGCATCTTTAGATTTTCTAATTGTGTGTTTTGAAATGTTTTCAGATGCCTAAAGCCCTAGATATGTGCCAGAGAAATAGAAATAAGTATATTCACTAAATAAATACTTTAATGTAGAACATTAGTATGGTTAGAAAACTTATGGGAGCCTATAAAAGTGTAAGGAAGATTCTCTTTCAGCTTGTAAAATACGATTTAACAGGATAATCTACCACGGGGTGGAAAATCATTATTTTGAAATATGCATTTCTATAGTATGCAGGGTATTATGCTTAAAACTATGCTTAAAACTAAGGCCAAGATTTTCAGAATGACTGTTGGTTTTGGGTGCTTCAATTTTTCGAGTGTCCAACTTGTTTCACCTTCAAGGGGCCTGATTTTTAAAGGCTTTTTAAAAAGGTATTACCCACAAATGGAGGTATCCAAAGTCACTAGCCATTTCTGAAAATTGTGACCTGATATTTTACAGATCTGAAATCAGTTTTACCTAATGTTGATTGTTTTTTTCAGGATTACTGTTGCTCTCTCTGAGTGCATCATACTCCAATACAGGGCAAGCTAGGGGGCTCTTAAGACTTCCAACATAAACAAACATGAAAGTATTGGCCATTTGTTTTGGTATTGTCACACAAAGGGAATAGACATAAGCTTTTCTCTGTTTTTTCCCCCACAGGTTTCAAGTGGCTATCTGGTTGTGGTTTTTGTTTATGTAACAGAATATGTTGGCATTAAAGCTCGAACATGGGCATCCATGCATGTCCATGCTTTTTTTGCTGTGGGAGTCATGGCTGTGGCACTGGTAGGATTTTTGGTGAGGACCTGGTGGATCTATCAGATATTTCTTTCCATAACAACTCTCCCCTTTGTCTTGTGCTGCTGGATGCTCCCAGAGACACCTTTCTGGCTACTGTCAGAGGGAAGATACGAAGAAGCACAAAAAGTAGTGGATGTAATGGTGAGATGGAATAAAGTAAGCACTCCTTGTAAAATTTCTGAACTGTGTTCAGTCCAACAAGATGATCTAGTCAGTTGCAGAACGGGTGATGATGACATTTCTACAGTGAAGAAGCACAACATCTTAGATCTGTTTTATAATTGGCACATTGCAAGAAGGACCATTACAGTCTGGATGATTTGGTTCACTGGGAGTTTAGGATACTACGTATTCTCCCTGAGTTCCGTCAATCTAGGAGGCAATGAATATTTAAATCTATTTCTCATAGGTAAATATCTGATATATTTTATTCTGCTTATGACAGAACTAGAACTTCGAATTTATAAATGTTTAAAGATCTGACAGTCAATTTCCTGACCCCCAATTACCTGTACCATCAGCAACTCCATTTACAATTGCAGCTTTAATTCTTGTCAACCTGAAATGTAGTTATTTTACAAAAGCAAGCTTAGAGTATGTTAAGGTACTGTATTGTCCTTGACATCTCCTGCCAATTTTTGTGCTTGTAAAACCACATTTTCCTAGTTTTAAAATGGTTTCTCTCTGCCCGGTTGTTCTGTGAAAGAACCACGCAAACAACAGGGAAAATTGACTAACCCTACAGGGGAAACTATTAAATTGATGAAATACTATTCCAGTAAACAAACTGAGAAAAATAGAGATTTTCTTCACTAATATTTTTAGTCATAATAATATTAGATTATACTGGTAACACTATTAAGCTCATAATTTTAAAGTTTGTTCAAAGTGTGTTTTTTAAATCTAGGGGGCAATGTTTCTTTAATTTAGTCTTTAATTTAATGTGGTTGCAAATTTTCTCTTGACATGATAAAATTGGTCAGCACATATAGGGCCTGATCTAAAGTCTATTTAAGGTCATTGGAAAGATTCCCATTGAGTTTGGTGGACTCTGGATCAGGCTCCAGCCCTGTAAAGGACTTAAGCTCATGCTAGTTTTAAGCATATGAGTAATCACAATAGAGTCAATGTGACTATTCATGTGCTCATAAGCACTTTGCAGGATTGGAATACTAGTGAATTAATTTTAAGTTGCCATGTATTATTACATGTTAGTAACTTGACTGTTGTGTTGAAAATAGGAGGCTAATGTTGCTAATATAACTAAGTTGTTATGATACTGTAAATAAATTACTATGTTAGCAAATTTCAAAACTATTTTCTTTTGTCTTCTGTGACCCACCTCACAGGGTCCAAGAGCCTGGGCTCCAGCCTGAGCTGCAGTTAAACAGCCCCTTAGCCCAAGCCCAAGTCAGCCTGCGGGTTTTCAACTGCAGTGTGGACGTATCCGTACAGGCCTATCTCCCCATCAGAAGGGCAGCTGCAGCTGTCTTGTGCCTTATAGCCTCTTTCCCTGGTGCATTTCTTATTCCCCACAACCATATTTATGCCAGTGTAAGCCCTCCACTGGCATTTTTGCCACCGGTGGGTTTATCGCAAAATGTTGGTGAAATACATCTTTCACCTAACACCTATATCTTTTAAAACCAGTTTAATCAGTAGACTAAATAAATGCTCATAAAAAGCAAATCAGAATTATTTTAAAGGGCATTTGCAGTCATATTATCATGGTTTAATACCAGATAAATTCATAATGACAGGTGCCGTGGAGCTTCCTGCGTATGTCGTTGCTTGCATTGGGATGGACAAACTAGGAAGGAGAAACACATTGACTCCATTTCTTATATCAAGTGCAGTGATCTGTGTTTTGATTATGCTGATCCCTCAGGTTAGTCACTTACCATTTAAAATATACCTATATTGTGGGGAATGTGAGATATGTTAATGCAACATCTCTTTCTAAGGCCCGAGATTAATTAAATGTAGTTTAGAAATGAAGCTGGAGTTCTTTACAGTAGATTTTCCATATTTCTGTTAAGGGTCCCAAACTAGCATTCCTAGCTCTTAATTAAACAAAGGGTTCGAAATAAGCTGTTTAGTAAACAAAGCCACGTTCAGCCATTATTTATTGGTGGAAATAATCAGGAAAGTATGGAATAAGGTATTGCTCACTGTTTACAGAAAGATCACAGTTACGGTCTAAATTTTTCAAAATAAATGAATGGCATTGAATTTGGAATGGTGAAGTTTTCTGGTGCTTTATATATTTGTACTCTCTTTTAATAGGATTTCAGCATATTATCTGTCTTAGCAAATATGGCTGGAAAGTTTACAATTGGTGTTGCATTTGGCCTCATTTACCTTTACACAGCAGAACTGTATCCAACAGTTGTACGGTGAGAACTTTAAAATAATTTGCCATGTGTTTTTCATTATTTTGCTATTTCTTCCCTTCATTTGTTATACTTTTGGGGCCAAATCCTGTACCCTCTGAAGTCAATGGCACTGCTCCAAGCGACTGCACTAGTGTAAGATCAGTCTCTTTTCTGTTATAGAATTCTCTGGTTTTGGCTCTGCAGTAAATGCATTTATTTTCTGTTCCCTTCTACATAGACTGGTCCCACTGAGGTACTGGAAAAATGCTCAGTATTCTTAGCATTCAGTTCCCTCTTTCTGAATGTTCATGGTCATTAGGAATATGATTTATACTGAATGCTCAGTATACTTTTTATTCTATTTATAGAAGCAACCAAGGTCACTGTAAGATAAATTTAGATTAACATAACGATATTTTTATAGCATCTCTGCATTTCTAATTAATTGGTATATCTGATGTCACTCTCATTGGGCCTTGTGTCTTCTTGTCTTATCTCCAGGTCACTTGCTGTAGGAAGTGGGAGCATGATGTGTCGTGTTGGGAGCATAGTTGCTCCTTTTTGTGTTTACCTGACGAGTGTTTGGATCTTCATGCCACAGGTACGTGTTTATTTTGATAGTCAAAAAAATTGTTATCCATTTTACTGAGATTTAAAGTTGAAATGTAGATAAGTTCAAAAGGAAAGAGTGTTAAATATTCTCATTCTTAATTTAAATTCTCAGTTTTTTAGCTATATATTTTTAAGAATATGAATCTGAACTCAGGAGTGAGCCTCAAGGCACTGAAATCTTCTGAACAGTTGATATTACATACACTTTAAAGATGACAGACATATCTTATATGCATTGAATACTGGTATAAAATAGTAACTATCTTTTGTACAAGGCCGTACTGTATCATTCATGTAATTTGGAGTAAGTGTCTCATTCCTAAATTGAAAGTGTTGTATTTAGTCAAGATCTTCATTGAGCAACCGTCTTTTCTCGTTGCCATCAATCTCCTTTTGAAGAAGCAGAATAGCCTAACACAGATAATGGGGGAGAGAGCAAACGTTAAATCCTGCTGATGATGACAAGATCCTCCATCTCTATCAGTCAAGTGAAACACAGATGCCGTGTTAGATCACATGAGATGAACTGGAGCCCCCTCTATGGAGAACAAGCCTAGCAAATCTAAGCTCTCATTGGACTACCAGCCTAACTATGATCAAAACATCCTGCTGATATGGAGAGCTAAAAAGAATAAGGTCAGAAGCAGCCAAATAGTGGGGCAGTGAGATGTTGAGGAGGTGGCATAGATGGGATAGTAAGAGCATAACCAGGTGAGAAATAACTCAAGAGGTGACTACAGAAGAAAATGATGCTGTCATGATGATCATTAGGACTCTCAACAAACCTTGGATTTAAGAGAGATCTTCTTTTTGTAGAAAAAACAATGAGGAGTCCTTGTGGCACCTTAGAGACTAACACATTTATTTGTGGGTGGCTGCAACCTCATTCCATCATGTGATCCAACAGTCATCTCTAACTTTAACTGTCCCATGAAGATGAGATAGGGCAGTTTCTTTGTAGAAGAAAATGGGCACTTTCTTAGCATTACATGGATTTTGGAGTTCATTTTGCCCAAAATATTTTTAACTGTGTAGTTATATTCAGTGCATACAAGTTATCCCCTATTCTCTTTATGGAATCTATTATGTGTGCTGCTCAGAAATTCTACAATTGCTCAATCTTCCTTTTTCAGAAGGATAAGTTTAGGTTCATGTACATAAATGGTGAGAAACCTTATACTGAGGAGTTAAACTGATAATGAGCTTATTTTACCCATTTAACATTTTTTTAAATTTACTTTTACTTCTTTGAAAAAACTTTACAACTCACCTTTAATATCACAGCTTGTATGTGAATTACAGATGTAAAGAAGGTGAAAGAGTATTGGCCTGAATTTTCAACCCAACCTCTCTTCCTGTGTGTGTCTTTTTGCACACACACAGTTGGGTTTTCCTACAAAGGTAGAGTCGTGTCCATTTGATTTTAAAAATATAAAATCTACATTTGTGAATGCTAGAGACTGGTTTGAGAGACTGTCTGAAAACTTGGCCCATTATGTAAGTAACCTCTGTCCAGTTTTTTAGGATTCATTTGTGATAGTGGGGAAACAGAGTAGGAATAAATAAATAAAGTTCCTAACAAGCACTCTTATCACGCCAAAGAAATGCACCTAGAAAATACATGAAAAGCAAGATCTGAAGAGCACAGTAATCATGGGAGAACAGTCTCCTTTGACTCTTCTTCCCTTCAGAGTTTTGCTTTTCACTAGCAGTGATAATGTTTATCTGTTCAGAACTCCTGCACTTAAAACACAGCTGGGGCAAAGTTTAAACATTTGAGAACACTGTAAGTAGCACTGCAAATATTTCAAATATGGACAACTCTCAGTACATTAAAAACACTCACATACATTGTGAAACTTTGTTACAATAGTGACTGTAAATGTGTGTTTTCATGATAAACTTCTACCATCAGGCATTTGTAAGTTCACTAAAAACTTGCCTTGGGCTGAAGCTTATCATGCAAGGTCTCAGCTAACATACACATTTTGGGGTAAACTATGAACAAAATAGATTAATATTTTGAAATAGACTGACATAGGTTATGTTGATACAGTATATTATTTATGCTACACATCCTATATTCTGTTAAGTTTTTATTGCTACTCATTTTCACCATAACTCATTTGTGGCTCTGTCTCCCAAGAGTAATACAAACCATCCCAAAGAATGCCAATAAATCTTGAAATAATACCCACAGTTGTCTTGTTCATGCCACACATCGTAGAGAATTTGTGGTTTTAAAGTTTAAATTAAGGCCCCAGTTCAGTAAAGCACTTAAGCATGTGCCCTAGTGCTTTGAACATCAAGAGAACTTAGTTAGCAAAAGTGTTTATGGACATGACTAATAGATTTTATTCCATATTTATCATAAAAATTTAAGGCATATAATATGTATGAGACACATCACCGATCTCTGTGTTATATGAATAATAACAATACACAAAAAGGTTTAAAACATTTATTATGAATAACAAAAGACCAGATTGTGATCCCCTCCCCCCCATGCAATCTCACTGGTTTAAATAATAAATTCTACAGCTTGCCATTTAGATGACATTTTAAAAGTCAATTCAATTCATTAATCCAGTATCATCCAATTTATTTTTCTATTTTATCCTTTCTAGGAAATACCTCAAAAATACTTTATAGAGAGAGGTAGAGGAAGAGAATGCTTTACAGCTCTGGGTACAGCAGCTCTCATATCAGTAGGGGAACCTGACACATGAGGATGGAATAGAGTAAATAGCTGACAGTAAAGAGGAAGTGAGTATGCTTGTGGAGTAGTTAGAGTAAGGAGGGAAATAGATACATGCAGGGGCAGATTAGCGTATGGGCCCATGGGGCCCATGGCCAGGGGCCCTGGCCAACTGGGGGGCCCCCCGCAGGATAGCTGGAATTCCGCCCCATCCCCTGCTCTTCCTCTCTGCTCACAGGGCCCTACCGCCCTGTTCCTCCTTGTCCTCTTCCTCCTGAGGCCCTGCCCCCTGGCTAGGCCATAAACAGGAGTTGTAGGATGAGCATGTTCCCCCCCCCACACCAGCGCTGAGCTTCCCCCCCAAGCCCTCCCTTCCATGTGTAGCCTACCCCCAGCCATGGGCAGCTCTAGCAATTTTGCCGCCCCAAGCAGTTGCCGCTGAATTGCCGCCGTGCCAAGAGTGGCGGAGCTGCCGCCCAAAAGCCGCCGTGGCGGGAAAAGTTGTGGAGATGCTGCTGAATTGCCGCCGTGGGACACGGACTGCCACCCCATTCTAATTATCGCCCCAAGCACCTGCTTGGAAAGCTGGTTCCTGGAGCCGGCCCTGCCCCCAGCCCCTCTCTTTCCCCCCTCCCTCCTGCGCAGAGCTGCCCCCACACCTCCAGCCCCTCTCCCTTCCGTGTGGAGCTGCCCCCCCCAGCCCATCTCCTTCCCCCCCTCCCTCCTGTGTGGAGCTGCCCCCCACAACCTCTCTCCTTCCCCTCATTTTACACATGGGTATAGTGAAACACAGAGAGGTTAAATACATTGCCTACAGTCAAGCACAAAGTGGATCAAGTATCACTGCTAGTTAGAGAACTCAAAAGTCCAGCCTGCCAGCCTCCAACTCTTACCAATAGACAATACTGTTTTAATAGAAAACCTCATGTCTCAGCTATTACAATATTTGGCCCTTAGGCAGAGTTCTCTGGCATAATGCTGTATTACGTGTATAGACAGACGCAGCTGTCCACAGAATCATAGAATGTCAGGGTTGGAAGGGACCTCAGGAGGCAATCTAGTCCAACCCTCTGCTCAAAGCAGGACCAATCCCCAACTAAATCATCCCAGCCAGGGCTTTGTCAAGCCTGATCTTAAAAACCTCAAAGGAAGGACATTCCACCACCTTCCTAGGTAACGCATTCAGTGCTTCACCACCCTCCTAGTGAAAATTTTTTTCCTAATATCCAACCTAAACCTCCCCCACTGCAACTTGAGACCATTACTCCTTGTTCTGTCATCTGCTACCACTGACAACAGCCTAGAGCCATCCTCTTTGGAACCCCCTTTCAGGTAGTTGAAAGCAGCTATCAAATCCCCCCTCATTCTTCTCTTCCGCAGACTAAACAATCCCAGTTCCCTCAGCCTCTCCTCATAAGTCATGTGTTCCAGTCCCCTAATCATTTTTGTTGCCCTCCGCTGGACGCTTTCCAATTTTTCCACATCCTTCTTGTAGTGTGGGGCCCAAAACTGGACACAGTACTCCAGATGAGGCCTCACCAATGTCAAATAGAGGGGAACGATCACGTCCCTCGATTTGCTGGCAATGCCCCTACATATACATCCCAAAATGCCATTGGCCTTCTTGGCAACAAGGGCACACTGTTGACTCATATCCAGCTTCTTGTCCATTGTAACCCCTACGTCCTTTTCTGCAGAACTGCTGCCGAGCCATTCGGTCCCTAGTCTGTAGCGGTGCATGGGATTCTTCCGTCCTAAGTGCAGGACTCTGCACTTGTCCTTGTTGAACCTCATCAGATTTCTTTTGGCCCAATCCTCCAATTTGTCTAGGTCCCTGTGTATCCTATCCCTACCCTCCAGTGTATCTACCTCTCCTCTCAGTTTAGTGTCATCTGCAAACTTGCTGAGGGTGCAATCCACAGCATCCTCCAGATCGTTTATGAAGATATTGAACAAAACCGGCCCCAGGACCGACCCTTGGGGCACTCCACTTGATACCGGCTGCCAACTAGACATGAAGCCATTGATCACTACCCGTTGAGCCCGACAATCTAGCCAGCTTTCTATCCACCTTATAGTCCGTTCATCCAGCCCATACTTCTTTAACTTGCTGGCAAGAATACTGTGGGAGACGGTGTCAAAAGCTTTGCTAAAGTCAAGGAACAACACGTCCACTGCTTTCCCCTCGTCCACAGAGCCAGTTATCTCGTCACAGAAGTCAATTAGATTAGTCAGGCATGACTTGCCCTTGGTGAATCCATGCTGACTGTTCCTGATCACTTTCCTCTCCTCTAAGTGCTTCAGAATTGATTCCTTGAGGACCTGTTCCATGATTTTTCCAGGGACTGAGGTGAGGCTGACTGGCCTGTAGTTCCCAGGATCCTCCTTCTTCCCTTTTTTAAAGATGGGCACTACATTAGCCTTTTTCCAGTCGTCCGGGACTTCCCCCAATCGCCATGAGTTTTCAAAGATAATGGCCAATGGCTCTGCAATCACATCCACCAACTCCTTTAGCACTCTCGGATGCAACGCATCCAGCCCCATGGACTTGTGCACGTCTAGCTTTTCTAAATAGTCCCGAACCACTTCTTTCTCCACAGAGGGCTGGTCACCTCCTCCCCATGCTGTCCACACTCACTCACCTGAAACTCAGGTTCCAAAACTACTGTTACAAGTATCAGCGGGGTTATTAATTCAAAACCAAGCAATTTATTGACAAGATGACAACGAGGAGCTGGGGTGCCCGAGAGCAGCGCACGGCCCGTGTCCCTGCCCCCTAGGGCATGCCATCCAGGACAGGTGGAGGGTCCAGGGCTCCCCATAGAAGCCCAGGCTCCCTGGGCAGCTTTTACCATGGCTCGATTTCCAGCCTGGCCAAGAGGCAGGGCCATGTGGGGAAGGGAGGAGCAAGGGCAGGGCCCCATGGTGGGATGTGGGGGGAGGGGGCAATGTTCCTTGTGCCGAGGGCCCCAATAAATCTTAATCTGCCTCTGGATAGATGTGCTTAATGGGGGGAAGGGTGAGTATGATTCAGAATGAATTGGAGACTAACTGGAACTGGTTAGTCTAACTGGTGGGATTTCCAAAAGCGTTCAGCACTGACCTACTCCTGTTCCCACTGAAGTGATGGGAGCCTGATTCGCATTTATACTAAGGCTCTTTTGCGCCACAGTGGTCGTATAAAGATGCTTTAAAGTGGGAGTACATTTCATTTACACCCGCTTTTAGCCCTTTGCATTGTGTAAAGAAGCCTTAGTGTAGATGAGAATCAGGCCCTAGAAATTTTACCATTGACGACAGTGTGACCAGGAAAAGGCCAAACCTGAGCGCTTTTGGAAATTCCACCTAACATTTTTAAGGCAAAATCTAAAAAGAGGCAGTGTCGGAGATTTCCAGACAGTCAATGTGGCAGCACAGGTCAGAATGACTGTTAACTATGGAGAGTTGACTACAGATAAGCGAACAATTTCCAACTGCAAAAGCATCCATTGGATGCTTTTATAGATCGTGTTATTTTTCTCAAAATTTGTGGTATAACAGTAACATTATGGTGGCTGAAAAAGTGAGGGAGCTGACAGCTCTTTTCAAGGAAAATATTGAAAAATATTAAAGATGGGATCTAGTAGTTAGTGTATACAATTAAGCCTCCTCTTGAAACACTCTCTCCTATAACTCTGTACCTGCCTGCAGAGACCTCCACCAGTCTGGCCTTCATTCCTACTGTAGTAGTGATGATTGCCCTCTTTTCTAATTCTTCATCGTAGGAATGTAACGGTTTTACTTTCATTGTAGTATGTAGCATTCAACAGTATTTTGCTTAGTTTTTTACTCTTTTAGCTTCTGCACTCAATATGAGTGTAACAGAATTTGTTAGTCTCTTAAGGTGCCACAAGTACTCCTTTTCTTTTTACAGATACAGACTAACATGGCTGCTACTTTGAAACCTTTGAAACAGATATAATTCTGCTTCTCACAGAGGATTGCTTAAGACAATTGGTGGCTCTGGCCCTGAGGGATCATAAACAGCTTGGTGTTTTTAACGGAAAATAACTCTGTCAAGTTACAGCTGAGACTTCAAATTTGAAATCTCCTTTCTGACTTCCAAAGAGCTATTTTCATTTAGAATTAGGGGGTGGTTGCCTGCCAGTGTACCCATATCTGTCTGAAAGTGCTGTGTTATGAAAGTCATAACCACAGCCATTTCATATGTTCTCTCTCATGTTTAGAAGGAAAGTATTAAACAAAATGGATCAGAGCTTGGGATCAGTACAGAGCAAGTTGAGGACATCACAGTATCAAAATGCACAAAGTAACAGTTATAAAACAGAAAAAGAAGCCTGCGAGAAATGGTGTATTAAAGACATGTATTTACAGAGAAGTAGAGTAAGAGCATAGGGAGCATAATGGGATAAGATTGAAGATTAGTGTGTTAGTATCTGTACAATGCTTTGAAGATGTTAATTGCTAAGTATTATCATCCTTATCAAGCAATAAAAATTAAAGAAAAGAGAAAACAAGGAAGAATTTTTAAAAGTGCCGATTGTCCAGAGCAGTGGTTTTCAACCTGTGGTCTACAGATTGTGTCTAAGGGGACCGTGAAAGGTGACTATGAAAATAAAGTTTCAGATCCAAGAAAAGGAATTCCGTTTTTCTGATGGATCAAAAGTACAGTATGTGAATTCCCCCACCTATAGGTCAAAACCTGGAAGTGTTACCATAGAAGCCCACAGTTCAGCGCCCTTTCTCAGACTGCATCAAATGCCATGCTGAGCACCTGCAATATTTATAGTTGAATTCTGTTCAGCCAGTTTTCAGTCTTAGACTTCTATGGTAGGGGTCTGCAGGCCACAGGTTGAATTTCCACAGGGGTCTACCCATCCATTCAGAATGTTTTAGGGGTCTGCAAATGAAAAAAAGGTTGAAAACCACTGGTCCAGAGCAACAAATTGATGGGAAATCTTCTATTGTTCTTTGGGACAGCATCTTCCTGCGTGTGTGCACCTAGCACAGTGGATCCCGATCCTGATTGTGGTCTTTGGCTACTACCACAATAAAATAAAACGATAATAATAATAGGACACACTGAAATCACAGTGTACATATCCAGATCATAGACACAACGCATGGGTCAGTTAGAAGCTGGGCCCCCATCAGCTTTCTCTCTCTGACTCAGGACATCATACCTATTCAGAACATTATGCAAGTATGTACTTAAGCATCTTCCTGCATAGGAATGGACTTAAACATGTGCTGAAGTGCTTTCTTTAATCAGGATCTCTATGATCCCAGTTAAGAGATCCTGACCTACAGCTTGCATTGGAGAAAGGTGCTCAAATACTATGATGATAGGTAGAGTAGGTAGACGAAGAGCCAGGTCTACAGCTTCTTTTCCCCCCTCTGTGTGACAGCAGGGAAGTTGTAGTCCAATAAAAATAAATGTAAAATGAATTTAAGCAATCTTACAATTACTTTTAAAATTACTATCTGCTAAAGAGAATAATTTTTCAATGAAGTTGCATGCATTCTATTCACTTCTGCAAAGTTGTTCCTGCTTACGCTGAGGCTGTATTTAGCTCATTGTGTAAAACATTTGACTTGGTCTGTGTTAACTTTGCTGGACAATCTGTCAGTTTATTTATGTATTGATTTTTGTTTTATTTTATTTTAGCAATTGCAACAGGGAACATTTAAGACTTTTGATCTTTGGTTTTCATTGAAGTTCACTGTGCTCCCAAATTTTAAAAGTATTTTCGCAAGCAAGACCAATGTTTTCCATGAACCCAAAGACATGTGTAACCCTTACATTAATTGTTTATTTCTTCCAGTTGCTTGTTGGAATCATGGCCTTTCTGAGTGGAATGCTAACATTAATGCTCCCAGAAACTCTTGGAAAACCATTGACTAATACTTTGGCAGAAGCTGCAGAACTGGGAACAAACAAGAACAGCTGTTTGGGAAAATCACCCCCCGCCCAGAGTGGTGTAGTGTTAGAAAAGATAGATGCTTAGCCAAAAGTCACACAGCACTGAAGAATAAAGCAACATCAAGATTGCTGTCACCAGTTTTAATCCTCATTAATTCTATAAGACTATTTTATTAGAGCAACCTGATCATGGTTTTAATGCACGCATCTTTTAATTTGTATGCAATCTTGCCTTTTCTAGAGGGAAAATATAAAAATGTCTGGTAGAAAATTTAAAAGGATTTTAGAGCCACTCACAAACTTAATCATACTTTTAAAAATCTGTTTCATTTGCTTTGACTAGTTAGAGTGATTATTGTTCATTTGGAAAATACCAGGTTTTCCCAGATTCACATATTTCCTTTCACTGCTGTAGATTTTCTGCAGCTCTGCTTGTAATCTCATCATGAAATCCCCTGTCAATAACTGCCATATTACAACTGACAGACACAGACTTTTGACTTATTAACATGGTAAGCTCAAGCACACAGTACTAATTCAACAGAAAAGGTTCTTAATTACTGTGAAAGGTTAAACAGAAATAAAGATTTCTGTTTTTCAAATTTTCTTCTGGAGAGACTGCCATTGCTAAAAAATGAAAATATTCTATGCAACAGCTTCTGACAAAAAAAAGCATTCTCAATTTGCAGAATGTTCAAATAGTATGAATACTATTCATTTTGTTTAATGTCAAATGTATTTTTTGTTATTGATTTAGAGAAAAAACTGCTTTGGGACTCTGTTGAAGTATCAGTAAAGTCTATGTATACAGATAAAATCTGGTATTTTTGAAAACCTTATTCATTCCAGACTGTTACGTTAAATGACCCTTTCCCATTAGTTTCCGTTCAGACCTATCATCAGTTTCTTTATATCATCCTAGGGTAAAACCAACCCCTGTGCAAAGCAACCACACAAGGCTTATGTATCTTTTTAGTGCTCAAAATAGGATTTAAGTAGAGCTTAAGTAGTGCATAGGCCTGTGCAGTGCTGGGCGCTTAGGCTCAGATCCTCAAAAGTATTTAGGTGCCTGATTCCAATAGGAGTTAGGTGTCTAAATACATTTGAGGAGTTGGGCCTTAGTAAATAAGTGATGTATAACTGCTAGCATCAAAATGTTATTTTTTTTATGGACCATCCATTTGTAGCTCCATTTATTCAACACTGTACAGAACCAAATACTAAAAAAAAATATTTTTGATGGAAGAAACTTATCAACCGTTAGAAATGGATGCAACAGTCACTGATTCCTGCAGATGCCTGTGAAACATCCAGAGCTGGTGCTAGCCCTAAGCAGAAATATTTTTGTTCCCACCCCCCCCCCCCCAAACACTAAAACAGGCAAGTTCTTATGATAAAAAGTGAATGAGAGCCCCCCTTGAGCTGCTTGGGACCCTACGCAATTGCTTAGTCTGCTTATGCCTAGTGCCGGCTCTGAAAACATCCCCCTGTTATATCACTCGTGCTGATACACATGAGTGATGGAGACTGTAGAAAACACTAACAGGGATAGATTGAGGACATCATTTCACTCTAGCTGCTATTTTTTATAATTTTCTATCCCAGCCCTCCCTTTTTAGTCTACTGTAGAGCTAGCCATTTCTTCCATACCTGTGCAGCCTTCCGTATTGTGCATAAAGATTCTACATTCTATGCAAGTAATGGTTTGGACTCTGCTCTCAGTTACATCTGTACAGCTCCTCTGACTTCAGTGAGTTCTGAAAGAAGAATATGATTCAATATCTCTATGCCTCTCTAACAGGAAACAAAGCATCTCTCTTCAGTTACAGCACTGTCCTGGAGTTCAAAGTATAGAATCATAGAATATCAGGGTTGGAAGAGACCTCAGGAGATATCTAGTCCAACCCCCTGCTCAAAGCAAGACCAACTCCAACTAAATCATCCCAGCCAGGGCTTTGTCAAGCTGGGCCTTAAAAACCTCTAAGGATGGAGATTCCACCACCTCCCTAGATAACCCATTCCAGTGCTTCACCACCCTCCTAGTGAAATAGTGTTTCCTAGTATCCAACATAGACCTCCACCACTGCAATTTCTGACCATTGCTGCTTGTTCTGTCATCTATCACCACTAAGAACAGCTGAGCTCCATCCTCTTTGGAACCCCCCTTGAGGTAGTTGAAGGCTGATATCAAACCCCCCTCCACTCTTCTGCAGGCTAAACAAGCCCAGTTCCCTCAGCCTCTCCTTGTAAGTCATGTGCCCCAGCCCCCTGATCATTTCTGTTGCCCTCCTCTGGACTCTCTCCAATTTGTCCACATCCTTTCTGTAGTGTGGGGCCCAAACTTGGACGGAGTACTCCAGATGTGGCCTCACCAGTGCTGAATAGAGGGGAATCATCACTTCCCTCGATCTGTTGGCAATACTCCTACTAATGCAGCCCAGTATGCTATTAGCCTTCCTGGCAATGAGGGCACTCTGCTGACTCATATCCAGCTCCTCGTCCACTGTAACCCCTAGGTCCTTTTCTTCAGAACTGCTGCTTAGCCAGTCGGTCCCCAGCCTGTAGTGGTGCATGGGATTCTTCCATCCTAAGTGCAGGACTCTGCACTTGTCTTTGTTGAACCTCATCAGATTTCTTTTGGCCCAATCTGTCTAGGTCACACTGGACCCTATTTCTACCCTCCAGCATATGTACCTCTCCCCCCAGCTTAGTGTCATCTGTGAACTTGCTGAGGGTTCAATCCATCCCATCATCCAGATCATTAATGAAGATGTTGAACAAAACCAGCCCCAGGACTGACCCCTGGGGCACTCCGCTTCATACTGGCTGCCAACTAGACACTAAGCTGTTGATCACTACCCATTGAGCCCAACAATCTAGTCAGCTTTGTATCCACCTTATAGTCAATTCATCCAATCCATACTTTTTTAACTTGCTGGCAAGAATACTGTGGGAGACCGTATCAAAAGCTTTGCTAAACTCAAGATATATCATGTCCACTGCTTTCCCCATATCCACAGAGTCAGTTATCTCATCATAGAAGGCAATCAGGTTGGTCAAGCATGACTTGTCCTTAATGAATCCATATTGACTGTTCCTGGTCACCTTCCTCTCCTCCAGTTCCTTCAAAATGGTTTCCTTGAGGACCTGCTCCATGATTTTTCGAGGGACTGAGGTGAGGCTGACTGAACTGTAGTTCCCTGGGTTCTCCTTCTTCCCTTTTTTAAAGATAGGCACTATATTTGACTTTTTCCAATCATAGAATCATAGAATATCAGGGTTGGAAGGGACCTCAGGAGGTCATCTAGTCCAACCCCCTGCTCAAAGCAGGACCAATCCCCAATTAAATCATCCCAGCTAGGGTTTTGTCAAGCCTGACCTTAAAAACTTCTAAGGAAGGAGATTCCACCGCCTCCCTAGGTAACAATTTCCAGTGTTTCACCACCCTCCTAGTGAAAAAGTTTTTCCTAATATCCAACCTAAATCTCCCCCACTGCAACTTGAGACCATTACTCCTTGTTCTGTCATCTGCTACCACTGACAACAGTCTAGAGCCATCCTCTTTGGAACCCCCTTTCAGGTAGTTGAAAGCAGCTATCAAATCCCCCCTCATTCTTCTCTTCCGTAGACTAAACAATCCCAGTTTCCTCATTCTCTCCTCATAAGTCATGAGTTCCAGTCCCCTAATCATTTTTGTTGCCCTCTGCTGGACGCTTTCCAATTTTTCCACATCCTTCTTGTAGTGTGGGGCCCAAAACTGGACACACTACTCCAGATGAGGCCTCACCAGTGTCGAATAGAGGGGAACGATCACGTCCCTCAGTCTGCTGGCAATGCCCCTACTTATGCATCCCGAAATGCCATTGGCCTTCTTGGCAACAAGGGCACACTGTTGACTCATATCCAGCTTCTCATCCACTGTAACCCCTAGGTCCTTTTCTTCAGAACTGCTGCTGAGCCATTCGGTCCCTAGTCTGTAGCGGTACATTGGATTCTTCCGTCCTAAGTGCAGGACTCTGCACTTGTCCTTGTTGAACCTCATCAGATTTCTTTTGGCCCAATCCTCCAATTTGTCTAGGTCCCTGTGTATCCTATCCCTACCCTTCAGTGTATCTACCTCTCCTCTCAGTTTAGTGTTATCTGCAAACTTGCTGAGGGTGCAATCCACACCATCCTCCAGATCATTTATGAAGATATTGAACAAAACCGGCCCCAGGACCGACCCTTGGGGCACTCCACTTGATACCGGCTGCCAACTAGACATGGAGCCATTGATCACTACCCGTTGAGCCCGACAATCTAGCCAGCTTTCTATCCACCTTATAGTCCATTCATCCAGCCCATACTTCTTTAACTTGCTGGCAAGAATACTGTGGGAGACGGTGTAAAAAGCTTTGCTAAAGTCAAGGAACAACACGTCCACTGCTTTCCCTTCATCCACAGAACCAGTTATCTCCTCATAGAAAGCAATTAGATTAGTCAGGCATGACTTGCCCTTGGTGAATCCATGCTGACTGTTCCTGATCACTTTCCTCTCCTCTAAGTGCTTCAGAATTGATTCCTTGAGGACTTGTTCCATGATTTTTCCAGGGACTGAGGTGAGGCTGACTGCCTGTAGTTCCCAGGATCCTCCTTCTTCCCTTTTTTAAAGATGGGCACTACTTTAGCCTTTTTCCAGTCGTCCGGGACTTCCCCCGATCGCCATGAGTTTTCAAAGATAATGGCCAATGGCTCTGCAATCACATCCACCAACTTCTTTAGCACTCTCGGATGCAACGCATCCGGCCCCATGGACTTGTGCATGTCCAGCTTTTCTAAATAGTCCCGAACCACTTCTTTCTCCACAGAGGGCTGGTCACCTCCTCCCCATGCTGTGCTGCCCAGTGCAGTAGTCTGGGAGATGACCTTGTTCGTGAAGACAGAGGCAAAAAAAGCATTGAGTACATTAGCTTTTTCCACATCCTCTGTCACTAGGTTGCCTCCCTCATTCAGTAAGGGGCCCACACTTTCCTTGACTTTCTTCTTGTTACTAACATACCTGAAGAAACCCTTCTTGTTACTCTTAACATCTCTTGCTAGCTGCAACTCCAAGTGTGATTTGGCCTTCCTGATTTCACTCCTGCATGCCCGAGCAATATTCTTATACTCATCCCTAGTCATTTGTCCAATCTTCCACTTCTTGTAAGCGTCTTTTTTGTTTTTAAGATCAGCAAGGATTTCACTGTTCAGCCAAGCTGGTCGCCTGCCATATTTACTATTCTTTCTACACATCGGGATGGTTTGTCCCTGTAACCTCAATAAGGCTTCTTTAAAATACAGCCAGCTCTCCTGGACTCCTTTCCCCCTCATGTTATTCTCCCAGGGGATCTTGCCCATCTGTTCCCTGAGGGAGTCAAAGTCTGCTTTTTCTGAAGTCCAGGGTCCGTATTCTGCTGCTTTCCTTTCTTCCTTGTGTCAGGATCCTGAACTCGACCATCTCATGGTCACTGCCTCCCAGGTTCCCATCCACTTTTGCTCCCCTACTAATTCTTCCCGGTTTGTGAGCAGCAGGTCAAGAAGAGCTCTGCCCCTAATTGGTTCCTCCAGCACTTGCACCAGGAAATGGTCCTCTACATTTTCCAAAAACTTCCTGGATTGTCTGTGCACCGCTGTATTGCTCTCCTAGCAGATATCAGGGTGATTGAAGTCTCCCATTATCATCTGGGACCTCCCCCAATCGCCACGAGTTTTCAAAGATGGTGGCCAATGGCTCTGTAATTACATCAGCCAATTCCCTCAGCACCCTCAGATGCATGTGTGACAGGTTCGGTCACAGAGACCACCTTGGGACTGTCACCTAACGTGCTGAAGTTAACTCTGAGCCTAGTTAACTCTGCCAGCTTGAGATTCTAGAACCCTGCCTTGTTGAGCCAGACACGCTAGTCTGCTGCAGCACAGACCCAGGTCTGGTCCACACCCTTAAAGCTGCAGACTTTAACCAAAAACTGCTCAGCGGGTCACCTATCTCCAGCACCCAGACACCCAGCTCCCAATGGGATCCAAACCCCCAATAAATCCGTTCTACTCTGTATAAAGCTTATACAGGGTAAACTCTCTATAACACTGATAGAGAGATATGCACATCTGTTTGCTCCCCCAGGTATTAATCACTTACTCTGGGTTTGTCAATAAACAAAAGTGATTTTATTAAGTATAAAAAGTAGGATTTAAGTGGTTCCAAGTAATAACAGTCAGAACAAAGTAAGTTACCAAGCAAAATAAAACAAAACACGCAAGTCTAAGCCTAATACATTAAGAAACTGATTACAAGTAAAAATCTCACCCTCAGAGATGTTTCAGTAAGCTTCTTTCACAGAATAGACTCCTTTCTAGTCTGGGCCCAATCCTCTCCACTTGTTAGTTCCAGCAGGCATCTTAGGTGAAAAGCAGGGGGTTTCTCATGACTTGGACCCCCCCTTATTCTGCTCCACATCTTTTATAGCTTTGCCACAAGGTGGGAATCCTTTCTCTCCCTGAGTCCCCACCTCTCCTTCTAAATAGAAAAGTACCAGATTTAGGATGGATTCCGGTATCATGTGACATGGTCACATGTCCTGAGAGACCCCCAGCCTCCATTCTTCCTGGGCTGGCCTACACATACACAGGAAGGTTTGCAAGTAAACAGAGCCATTTACAGCTGATTGTCCTAGTCAATGGGAACTATCAAGATTCTAAAGCATTAATGGCCCACACTTCGCATAATTACAATAGGACCAGTGGTGAGCTGGAGCCGGTTTGAACTGGTTCGCTGGAACCAGTTGTTAAATTTAGAAGCACTTTTAGAATCGGTTGTCCCATGAGGGACAACCTGTTCTAAAAGGGCTTCTAAATTTAACAACCGGCCAAAAGTGGCGCCTTAGGCGCCGACTCCATGGGCGCTCCGGAGCTGGAGCACCCAGGGGAAAATTTGGTGGGTGCAGAGCACCCACTGGCAGCTCCTCTCCCCTCCCCAGCCCCAGCTCACCTCCGCTCCACCTCCACCCCTGGTTACACTCCGCCCCGCTCTGCTTCTCTGCCCCGCCCCAGCTTCCCGTGAATCAGCTGTTTGCACGGGAAGCCTGGGCGGGCTGAAAAGCAAGCAGCGTCTTCATGCTCAGGCCCAAGGAGGCGGAGCGGAGGTGAGCTGGGGCGGGGGAGCATGAGGAGGGCCTCCCACGCCGCAGCAGGTAACCCGGGGCGGGGGGCAGGGGAACCACTCCCCGCCCCAGCTCACCTCTGCCTCCCTGGGCCTGAGCATGAAGCCACCGCCTGCTTCTTAGCCCTCCCAGGCTTCCCGCGCAAACAGCTGATCCACTGGAAGCCGGCCGGGGGGGGGGGGCGGGGCGGTGAAGAAACAGAGCGGGACGGCGCATTCAGGGGAGGCAACAGAGGCAAGTTGGGGCCGGGCTTGGGGCGGGGCACCCACCAAATTTTCCCTGTGGGTGCTCCAGCCCCGGAGCACCCACGGAGTCGGCGCCTAAGGCGCCACTTTTGATGTGATCAGTGGGGGGAGCAGGCGCTCCCCCTCAGCTATGCTACCCTGCCCTTAGTAGCCAGAGGGACATGCTGGATGCTTCCCTGGAGCCACCCCAGGTAAGCACCGCCGGGACTCTCCACCTCGCCCCCGGCAGGTCCCTCTGGCTCTTAGGGGCGGGGCGGGGTGGACACCCACTACAGTGGCTCACAAGACCCTCCTGCCCGGTTCTAGGGGCAGTCAGGGGAGTGGGGTGGATGGGGCAGGGATCCGGGGGGGCAGGGGCGTCAAAGAACACGGGGTTTGGATGGGGCAGGAGTCCCGGGGAGCGGGGGTGGGCCACGACCCCCTCGTGTGGTGAGGAGGGAACAGGTTGTTAAGATTTTGGCAGCTCATCACTGAATAGGACCTCAGAATTATACTTCATAATCCTAGTTTCAGATACAAGAATGATACATTCAGTAGATTATAAGATTTGTAATTATACCTTACAAGAGACCTTTTGCATAAAGCATATTTCAGTTACATCATATTCACACTCATAAGCATATTTCCATAAAACATTATGGAGTGCAATGTCACACCATGGACTTGTGCATGTCCAGCTTTTCTAAATGGTTCTTAACCTATTCTTTCACCACTGAGGGCTGCTCACCTCCTCCCTATACTGTGTTGCCCAGGACAGCAGTGTGGAACCTGACCTTGTCTGCGAAGACCAAGGCAAAAAAAGCATTGAGTACTTTAGCTTTTTCCACATCATCTGTCACTAGGTTTCAGAGTAACAGCCGTGTTAGTCTGTATTCGCAAAAAGAAAAGGAGTACTTGTGGCACCTTAGAGACTAACCAATTTATTTGAGCATAAGCTTTCGTGAGCTACAGCTCAGCTCACGAAAGCTTATGCTCAAATAAATTGGTTAGTCTCTAAGGTGCCACAAGTACTCCTTTTCTTCTTGTCACTAGGTTGCCTCCCCCATTCATTAAGGGTCCCACAGTTTCCCTGAACTTTTTCTTGTTGCTAACATACCTGTAGAAACCTTTCTTGTTACCCTTCATATCCCTTGCTAGCTGCAACTCCAGTTGAGTTTTGGCCTTCCTGATTACACCCCTGCATGCTCGAGCAATATCTTTATGCTCCTCCCTACTCATCTGTCCAAGTTTCCACTTCTTGTAAGCTTCCTTTTTGTGTTTAAGCTCACTGAAGATTTCACTGTTAAGCCAAACTGGTTGCCTGCTCAACCATCTCATGGTCACTGCTGCCCAGGTTGCTTCGCACTTCTACTTCCCCTACCAATTCTTCCCTGTTTGTAAGCAGCAGGTCAAGAGGAGAACGGCCTCTGGTTGGTTCCTCCAGTAGTTGTACCAGGAACTTATCCCCAACATTCTTCAAAAATTTCCTGGATTGTCTGTGCACTGCTGTATTGCTCTCCCAGGAGATGTCAGAGTGATTGAAGTCCCACATTAGAACTAGGGCCTGTGTTCTGGAAACTTCTGTTAGTTGTCCGAAGAAAGCCTTGTCTACCGCCTCCTCCTGGTCTGGTGGTCTATAGAAGATGCCCACCACGACATCACCCTTGTTGCTCTCGCCTCTAAACTTAACCCAAAGACTCTCAAAAGAGTTTTCTGTAGTTTCATCCTGGAGCTCTGAACAATCATACTGCTCTCTTACATACAGTGAAACTGCTCCATCTTTCCTCCCCTGCCTGTCCTTCCTGAATAGTTTATACCCATCCATGACAGTGCTCCAGACATGTGAACTACCCCACCAAGTCTGTTATTCAGGTCACATCATAGTTACTTGACTGTGCCAAGACTTCCAATTCTTCTTGCTTGTTTCCCAGGCTTCTTGCGTTCGTGTACATGCACCTAAGATAACTAGCTGATTGCCCTCCTTTCTCAGTATGAATCAGGAGGCTCCCCTTGTTGCACCCTCCTCCTTGTGTTTCCTCCCAATATCCCTTCTGCACTTACCTCTGGGCTTAGATCACCATCCCCCGTAGTACCATAGTATTCTGGGTTCAAACTTAGGAACAAATCATGTCCTGTGTGAGGAAAAAACATGCCTAGAAGCCTGGAAAAATCAGCAAGTCAAAATTTAGGGAGTTTCTATGGGATAATCATGTATGAAGTAGAAAGGGGACTTAGTGCTCTTCCCATCACATAGATGTCCTGATATATACAGGGAAATCCCACAGAATTCAAGATATGCAACTAGGAGTGGGGCTTTTGTTTGGAGACCTAGGCACTAACTCAACTCTTACACATTTTTACCACGTGAGTAATCCCATCTCTACTCAGCAAAGCACGCACTTACCTGCTTTCCTGAACAGGAATGGCATTATTCACATGCTTGGGGCAATGTGTTTTGCTGAATTGAGGCTCCAGTGCTTTTGCACTGCTCCCTGGCCATACAGCTTCCTCAGTAGCTGTACTTACCAGCAGCTCTTTCCTCTTTACAGGGTGTTTTATAGTGCAGGAGGGAAACAGCATAATATAATTGTAACAGGGAAATAAACTGATATTTTCTGATATTACAGCTGCCAGTGCCACTGTTAATTAAAAGTTTCAGGTTGTTACACATTGCCAAATGCTGTCTTGGAATACATGATCCACTGTATAATGATATCTTGAGGACTAAGAGTACTAAAGCTACTCCTTAATCCTGACCGTATATGGAGCATTACAATGTACTTCTAACAAGCTATTAGAATAAAACTAAAGTTAATTCCAGGACAAAGGTGACTACATGAAAAATCAATTTAGGTCTGCTCCAATCAAAGTCAGTGCATGGCATAAATTCTGTTGACTTGGGTGATTCAGGACCAGACCCTTGTTCAAAATGTGTAAAATAAAGAAGGAAATTCAATGCAGTACTTAAATACCCAAACATGTTTACACATTTCCATTGCTGTTAACTGGAAATCTGGGTAAATCATTAGGGGCTACAATTTTAATGCTACTTGCAACAGAAAATGCAGCCTGGTGTCAAAGTACTGGTATCAAGATGGGAAAGTCAGAACTTCAATAAGGAGCACAGACAACAGAATGATCATTCTAGATCTATTTTTAGCTAAGAAATTTAAGCATTTTGTGGATGTAAATACACCAAAACAACTTCAGAAAAAGGCAGGGACTCAATCATCCTAGGAGATGAGCATGAGCAACTTCCATTGATTTCAATGGGAATTGTGCATGGACATCTCCCATGGATGATGGGACCTCAGAACTTGTCTTAAAAGAGCTGTAGGAATCTCCTGTTGTTCCCTGTGTCTTTGGCTGCAACTCTCATCTTCCTATCTTGACAGACTGACAGTGTGGTTGCTTCCTGCTTCACTGTTTCATATTTATATTATGTACAAGGTCCAATACACTTTAACAAAGTAATCAACAGGGGGTTTAATGCTCTTAATGCTCATGAAAAAAATCCCATTAACCGTGTCTCTTATTTTCTCCTTAACCTTGATAGTGGGTCAATTATATCTTACTAATTAATGGTTCTGATTGTTCCTGATGATTTATAAGCTATCTCCTTTTAATTGTGGTTCATCATAATTGCCAGTCATTTTGGCTATAAAATGTTTATATCCTAAAATTGATATCACATTGTATCATACAACAGTGAGGGTTATCAGACTAATACTTCCTGGGTGAATGATTAACATTTGTTGAATTCTAACTGAAGAACAATAATAAGGTGATATGCTTGATATTTTAAATCAAATGCATTTTTTAAACTAAGCTTTAAGATGCATTTTCTAATTTAATGTCTGACTTTAATGTCTTTTTATACATTTTGGTAGTTTAAATCAACTATGGGAAAAGTAGCCATGCAAGCTATGTATGCTATGGGCCAAGTCCAGTGGGCTGTGCACTGAACATGTCAATAGCAGATGGAATCTCCCCCCTAAACATTGTTGTGTAGCTGGTTCACAGAGCCTGAAGAAGGCCCATATTCCCAGCTCTGGGGCGGGTGGGACCAAAGAATTCTTTGGCCTTGCCCTGCTGCTCCCTCAGCTTATGCCAACCCATCCCGTGTATTCTGCCATGCAGGGACCCTCTGCAGGGTTTGGCTCTGCACTGTCTTGGGACTATTCACCCATTTTTATGGCCTTCCAAAATCCAGCCTCACCTTGTACAGCAGATTTATGCTGCTGGAGGCCTCTGTGGATACTGGATTTGTCCTATATATGTGTGTCAAAGGTACTTCTAAGATACTTGCCTAGATCTCATAACAAGTATAAAGGATAGAAAAGATTAAAAGACTAGTTATGAATTTAAACAATAACAAGGTTATCTGTGATATCAAAAGAAATTCCTGTTGTATGCAATAAAACAACACCCATATTGTTGAATCACTCATAAAAAAAGGTTAAGGGAAATCCATATATGGTAGTTATTCTTGCAGTTGGTTTGTGATACCAGATTCTATACACCAGGCAATTTATCCATTTTGATAATAGATGCGGGGCATATATACTGTTCTAACTGACCTGTGTTAAATGCAGCATACATGATTTTAATACAATATGCATTATTCGGTCAATGGAATTTTGTTTTTCCATGTATGTATTTATTATCTCAAAGTATGTAGAACAATAAAGTGGAATATGCATTTAATCTTTATCACCATGGCTTCAGAGGCAGTCGTGCACTTTTATTTTTCCCTTTATATAGTCATTCGTATGCACTGGTGTTATAAACTCGTTCTGAGGAGCTATATTAACACCTGGAAGGTCTTTTGAATGATTTCCTTTAGGGACACTGTACTGTATTAAGGTTTTTGCATGTTTTGGGTTGACAGTTACCACTTGTGTGTCTTTGTCATTTGTGTTAGCTGTTAAAAGGCAGTGTCAGCTGGGAGCTATACAATATAATAAGATTCAGGATTGTCACTTTGTGTCACTCTGAAGCCTATTATGTCTGTAGAGTCCTCGACCATTGTGATGTCAGAGGTAACTCAACCAATTCCCACCCTTTCTCTTCAGCTAATCTGCATGTGACTGTTTCTTCAGTTTTATGAGGGACACTGCACAGATGGTCGATTGGTTGGTCCAGCTGCCACACCCATGTGCCCAACTGTCACCCACACAAATCCACACAACTCTTCTAGCACAACTCTCCTTACACACAAATCAACACAATCATCCATACATCACAACCGATACACATACCACAACCAGCACACACAATAACCCCCAGAACACACAGCCCCTCATTCACCACCTGCACAAATCAACACACATCTCCCAGCACAAGGCCTCCTAGACAAAGATCAAAACAACCACCCATCCAAGATAACCAGCATACAAATGGGATTCACACTCTTATTGTCAATTTTTTAAGTTTTTCAGTTATTTTTAGCTTTTTTTACACACAACTTTATTATTTACACCCATGTGATTGTGTGGGCTTTCAGCTACTAGTAGAATGTGATCCTCTTCTGCCAAGACTTGATATAAACTTGCCATGGTAGAAGTCTCTCAGCCAAATTCAGTAGTGACAAAAATGGCTGTATTGTTGTATGATGGGTTTGAGTTGGCCAGAAAGCATCAATCTAGCATTCAGTGGGTGTGGAAGATGTATTACTTAAACACAGAGGGGCAAGAGGGAGTGTGGTGGCACATCTGCCCCACACTGGCAGACAAGGGGTCAATAGAGCCCTAGGGAGGCTGCGCAAAAAGCAGCCAATAGGAAGGGAGCTATGAGGAGTGGCCAATCAGGGCCCAGCAGACCCATATAAAAAGAGTGCAAGGCAGAGCAATGTCAATAGCTACCTGGAGATTGGGGAGGGAGGACTGTCTGGAGTAGGCTGCAACTCTGGAGCACTTTGGACAGGAGAAGAGAAGGAGCTCCAGATGGGCTGCTGAAACTGAGGAGGGTGCTGTGGCCATGGGGAGGTGGTCTGGGGAAATGCAGCGATAGTGGAAGCAAAGGAATGCAGTAAGTGACTGCGGTCTGGAGGGTCCCTGGGCTGGGACCAGAAGTAGTGGGCAGGCCCAGGTTCCCCACACTCGCCAGTGGGGAAATGGCAGGACAATTGACTCCAGTTGCCACTGGGGAAGCATCTGGACTAGGAGCTATACTACCCCAGAAGGGGGGGAACATGGTCAGTGACACAGCTGGGGGGCCAAGCCACAAAGAAGACACTGTGGTTCCTGAGGTTGCGAGAGGGGCTGTAGGCAGATGGCAGAGATTGGGTGATGGTGTGCAGACCATGGATGGGGGCATTGGCCTCAAGCTAATCCCCAAGACTGCCAGCAGGAGGTGACAATCCAGCATGGTGAATGATACACACTGTGATGCCGGGATATATGGTAGCAGGAAAACAAGAGAGTGTAAGATAAAGCAACCTGTAGATCTACCTTTCCTGCTATCCCTCTTTAGTCCAGCAGTGCATAAGTTACATTTATTTCCCACTGAATGCCAAATTGGTGTATGTTATAGTACTTTCCACTGACATATACTTCCAAGTGTTTGTGTCATCACCCAATTTTGTCCTTACTGTTTTATCTGTACTTTATCTGTACTTGCCAGATGCCAGTTAGTGGTGATTAGGTTCAACTCCTGAAGTAAACTGAAAGCTACTGGTAGGAAAAATGTATGAAGAAGACAAAAAGTATTAAGTGGAGCAAATATCTCAAGCCTGTTCAGAGACCTGTTTGTTAAGGATTAGGGCCTTGATTCTCCTCTCACACCGGTTTTACACACACAATTCCATTGAGTTCAGTGATATAACTGCTGATTTACATCAGTGTAAATAAGAGGAGAATCAAGCCCAAGGAATGTACCTCAGTTAGAAAAGTTCTCATTGAAAGACACCGAAGACAGCAACTGCAGAGTAACAGAATTTAGCCTGGACTGCCAGTGCTTAAAGCATGCCCGGTTGCAGACCTGGGTAATACATTTTTGAAAAAGCTAGCCAGGTGTCTGAGGGGCACACATGTTCAGTACTGCCTAGGGGAAAACTCCCTTGGATTGACTGCTTTCCCCATTTGCTACCTCCTGGGGAAAAGCAGCCAATAAGGGCTGCTGCAGGAGGCAGACAGAGCTCTCTCCCCCTCCCAACTCAGGAGCCAACAACATTCTCACGGAAGGGTATATTGGAGGAGTGAGCAGAAAGAGCCCACCAACTCAGAGTGACTTCACTCCCTCTTCTCTCTGCCCCTCCTGTGAGCAATGGAGGCAGAATGGCTCGCTGCTCCTCCCCACTCCCTGCAACATCCAGCCTGGCAAGAGGGGTGCCTGCTACAGCTCCACCTTGCTGGGCACAGGGGATGAAGAACTCCAGATGTGAAATAATGAGACATAAAGGATAAGACATAGTGGTAAGTACAGTGGTAGTTGGGTATGGTGGTCAGTGTGGTGGCAGTTGGATGAAGAACTGGAACCAGAGGTTGGAGCCAGAGTCAGGAGTAGGTTCAGAGCGAAGCAAGAGTGGGTCTGGGAGCTACGCTGGAGCAGGGCTCGAGCAGGCCAAGGTCTATGAAGTCTGTCACCACTATCAGGCAGGGGACAGTTCCAAGCCCTGTAGTGACATTGGGCAGACTGAGGGGCTGTTGCTCCTGTGAGGCTTATATACTTGCCCTGAGAATCAGCAGACCAGCTCTTAGTTTGTGGATTGGCTGGAGCCTAGCACAGGAATGACAAATCACTGCATGTGGATTAACCAGATTGTAGTTCAGGGATGACTCATCACTTCACATCAGAAGTTGCTTGAGGAGCAGAGTTGATGCTGGGGCACCGGCAGAACTTATGAGAGATTGGAGGGGAACAGAATAGATGTGGAAACAGAACTAATGTTGGGCTAGAACTGTGGGGACAGAATTGATTTGGGCATTGGGAGCAGAATTAATTGCTGAACTAGATGGGCAGACATGAGGGTAATGATAGCCCCTATGTGCTTTTTTCAGGCCACTTTATGCATGCATACTGCATCATAGAAAAGACATGAGCAGCAATGGAAGACATAGGATCTGTGGAACTGGTATGTATAGCTAATTCTTGACAAATAGTGCAGAAATCTTTTATGAATGACTGTTAGAAGAATCTTTATGCTCAAGAAAACGTTACGCTTTCATTCATTAATATAGTTTAATCACAAAGGTTTCTGAATACAAATGACCCTTTCAAAGAAATTCTACAGACACTTTAAAAAGTCATATAGATTGTGTGACTGTCAGAAATAATGTAGTAGGGCTCATCTAAAGCAACATATTGTTTAGCTGCATTACTTTCTCCTATAGAATCTTGTATAATACTCAGATGTTTGTTGCAGATAAATAGGATCCACCCAGAGGAGTCTGGTTGTTAGTGCTCCCCTCTGATATGTCTTGTGGCAGATGAACTGACTGTCACTGTTGTTTGTAGTGTTGTTGTAGCCATATTGGTCCCAGGATATCAGAGCGACAAGGTAGGTGAGGTAATCTCTTTTATTTAGAAGTTGGTCCAATAAAAGATATTCCCTCACCCACTTTGTGTCTCTGACTACCAGAGGACAGAACAGACTCTCACAGCTTTAAGGGAAATTTTATAACATCCTATCACCGCTTGATTAGAAAGAAAAGTATCTTCAGTTATACTGACCATGATGCCTAAGAAGCTAAGAATCACCAGATCTTTGTGTTAAATACAATCATAAGTCATCTTATTATGTAAGGCAGTATTCCTATTCTCTCACCCTGTCTTGAATAAATGCCATCTGCAAGTGAACAGTAAAATGAACAGCGTTGGAATCTTAGTGGGAGCTACTCTTCTAAAAATAACTAGCCACTCATGTTGACTTTCATGATCTTGGAGCTGCTCAAAGAAGAAACGGCACAGAAGGACTCCATTCTCTTCCTGTGGGTTAGAAACAGGTTCACAGACTCTCATATATGTACTGGTGACTAAAGAACACAAGGAAGAAGAGGATCAGAAAGTTGAACTGCACCTGTCTGAAGCACTGTCCAAGCTGAGTTAATAGTCACTGTGGTGCTCAAACATTTCAACACTCAAATATTGTTCAGAAACAGAATCTCAGCCCCACATGCTATCAGTCCTACCATTGAGGCATATGCCCACCTAATACCTGGCTATCTACCCTGAATGATCCAAAAATGACTTGCATTTAGTCAATGAAGGAAGAGCCACTATTATTGATCTTGGCATGAAGTTTAAGTGTAGGAACATCCATAGATTCCAAGGCCAGAAGGGACAATTGTGATAATCTAGTCTGAGTTCTTGTATAGTAGGGGCTGTGATCCTCTTGACCTACTGCTCACAAACAAGGAGGAATTGGTAGAGGAAGTAGAAATGGGTGGCAAACTGTGCAGTGGTGACCATGAAATGGTCGAGTTCAAGGATCCTGACAAAAAGAAGAAAGGAGAGCAGCAGGATATGGATCCTGGACTTCAGAAAAGCACTTTGACTCCCTCAGGGAACTGATGGGCAGGACCACCTGGGAGGCTAATATGAGGGGGAAAGGAGTCCAGGAGAGCTGACTGTATTTTAAGGAAGACTTATTGAGGGTGCAGGAACAAACCATCCCAATGTGCAGAAAGAATAGCAAATATGGCAGGTGACCAGCTTGGCTTAACAGAGAAATCTTCTGTGATCTTAAACACAAAAAGGAAGCTTACAAGAAATGGAAACT